TGTGAGAGGCAGCGAAGGAGTTTCCCATGGGAACGCCAATCTGGAAAGCCGCATTTTGCCGCATCTCCAAAACACTTTTTTTTTTTTTCTTTTTTCCCCCTTTCCTTTTCTTTCCCCATCGGCTGTCCATCGTGGTGAAAATCTGCCCCGATGACTGTGCCACTCGGCTTCGCCCGTGCTTCCCTGACTCCCCTTCAGCATCGCTGCTGCCGGGATGGCTCAAGGAGGGGAGGGAGCACCAGGTAGTCCAGCACCTCGAAATGGGCCGCGGGACTCCCTGCCGCAGGACGGCCTTGCCCCCGAGGGTCTAGCTGGGTTAGAAAGAGATGAAGTGTTTCATCTGATGACAAGAGCATCCAGAATAAGAATAGTAAATATTGAAAATCCTCAAGGGTTTTTAAGAGCTCTAAATCCTTGTGCTTTATGGCCTAGCTTGCCTCTCTCCTTGGGGAGCATCCACACATCTCAAAAGACACATCCTAGTGCTCGTTGCTGAAAGGTTTTCTGCACTTCCCTCCAAAGCATCTTTGTAATCACTGGGTACCAAAACTGGGGGGAAACATGAGTCTGATACAGCCTGGCACTTGGGGTGTCCTTGCATTTTCCATCCCCTGTTTAGCTCCGTGTAGTGAACTTGTTCCCACTGCTCTGGTTTGCAAATGTTGTGTAGGTCAAGCTGAAGATTTTTCTTGGCTCCGGTCCTGCGGGTCCTTGCCAAGTATGTGGTTTATTGCATGCAAATGTTAGTCAACAGTTACATTATCCAAAGGCAGCCTTTTTTCTTTTTTTTTTTTTTAGCTTTAAATAAATGATTTGGCACAAACAAGTGTGAATGTTATGTCAGCATTAGACACTGTTTAATCTTGATGGATATGTTAGCGGTGGAGCGTGACACTAATTGACAGACATTAAATGATGCTTTCTGTTTCTAGTTGCGTACAAACAGGAGTTCTGCTTCATTAAGGCCGATTAAAACTCCACGTCTCCATAGTTAGGGTGGGATTTTTCTTTTCTGTATTAGTCAAGGGGATATTTCTCACCGGGAAAGCCTGCCGTGTCATTCCCCTTGTGGTGATGAATGCTTTAACACTCCCGGATGATTTGGTTATCCAAACGGTACAGCCCTTTTTTTGTCCTCGTGCCTTGTGCTTGGAAAAAAAAAGAAAACAGCAACTGGAAGTCTATCTTCTGTCCATAAAGAAACCACTTGGGGGTTGCAGAGAAAAGAGTTGGGAAGGAGAGGAGGGAGGGCAGTGCTCGTGGCAGGGGTGAATCAGCCGAGGTGTTTCTCCACGGCAGAGGCTGCGAAGGAGCCGGAGCTGCTGCCTGCATCCCTGCCTCCAACCAGCATCGATGTCGGACCCAGAACCTGCTTTGGCAGATGCCCACGCTGCAAAAAACCTGCACTTCACTGTGCCTGTGTTGCAGCAAACTTTGGTGTGCAACGACTTTTTGGTCTGGGTTACGAACAAGGCAGGTCCTGTAAGCAGGACGATGCTGCTGGCAGGATTAGTGCAGGGGGAGGAGACCCAGCTTCCAGTCCTGGCTGCAGGGACCGCTGCTTGTCACTGCCTGTGACAAACTGTCACCCGTGGACGGGAGCTGTTGTTCCCTTCCATGAAATCGCCGGGTGAAGGCGGTGGAGCCTGGCGAGCTGCGTCTGCCTGAGGATTTGGCTGGTGAGGACCCAGCACCAGCCTTCCTAAGGCAACGGGAGCTCCCCTGAGATCTCATTTTGTCATCTTGATGCCTGCTTTGGCTTTTGGATTTTTTTCTTTTAAAGCTACTAGAATACAAAATTAAGCTGGGAGTAATGGTAGTCACTGCAGCTTGCTTTCCATTCGGGAAAAGTTGCTGCTGCCAACAGCAGAGGGGAGGGAGTGTGCGCACAGGCAGGCTGGGACCCAAGGTCGGTCCCTCTCTGCCTCTGTACGAGGGGGAAACGTTCACGCTGACAGCTCCCAGGGTGAATTCTTCTTCTTATGGTCCTACGGAACCCAACGCTGCCCCTGATTGCGCTGACGTGGTTGCAGGACTGGAAGGCAGGGGCAGAAATAAAAACTGGGGCCAGTGCTTGTAGTACAAAACTCTGGAGGCCACTGGGATGGTGCTTAAATTGTGGGATTACAGGTAATTTGGGGGCGATAAAGAAAGTACTTCACTGTATAAGCTCTTTCGGGAAATAGTCACGTCTCATGCTCATCGGACAGTAAATGGGATTAGAGGATGCTCAGTGGTACTCTGCACCTGGCTGGATGAGTGATGGAGCAGCATTTGGCGCTGAGCACCTAGAAACAGTGATGAACGGTGATTTACCACCTGCAAAACCTTGTGAGCGGGTGCTTGTGACAATTCGTTGCACAAAACTCACCCGAGTGCTGTGTCTGCAACAGGCATTTGTGTAGAAGCCGGTGCTGGTGGGACAGCCGTGGTCATTCCATGGCAGAAACAAGGATCAAAAGAAAACCCAAACCCAGGGCAAAAAACCCACAGAGGCAGCTTGTTTTTAATAAAGACTCTGCACTGTTTATTCCAACGGACAATGTACATCAGATAAAATAGTATCAAAACATATGTATAAAAATAGTGACTATTTGCACTGGACTTGCTTTATAGCAGCAAAGTTAAGTATGAGCAGTTGGGTGTTGAAGCAACAAGGATATTTTACTGGTTGTAAACCATGAGCAGGGAGAAAAAAGTAACGATGGCACAAACATTTTCCCAAAGAAGCGTCCAAGAAGTTCAGTTTATATCTAATTTTCCCAGCCCAATTCAGTCCTTCCCAGCATAACGTGCCCGTCCCTGCTGCTCTTCCGCTGTCTGTGCCACGGACACACCGTGATCCCTATTCAGGGCAGCTCCGGGATGGTCAGAGCTGCTAACCCAGTGTATTTAGTGCAAATATAGCATCTCTGCATTGATTTAAGCAGCATC